ATTCTTAAGGTTTATAAAATGTCAGGCAAAGCAATGCCTACATTTCATTCCCAGAACCCACAGTCAAAAAAGGCAAAAGTCTCCTTGTCTTCCAAAAGTGTAATCCTTCCAGTGAAAATAAAAACTTAAGAAGTGAGTATTTATTTTTTCCCTCAGGTTTTTTCTAGTGTTGAGAGATATATCTAAATCTTGAGGCATACATTAATAGTTTCCTTGGGCTCTAGTGTCTGACTTCTCAGTGGGGTTTATGATGTACAGCCATGATCACCCCTAAGAATCAATACCCACATTCTCATCCCATGTCCTTCTTTCCTAAGGGCCACGAGTCAAGGTAAGAAAAGTGGAATCTCTCTTGGGAAACATGGGAATTAAGATCAAAGGTGAAGAATTTGAAGAACTAATAGCACAACTTCCACCTGAGGGTGAGTATCACCAACATCACCCTGCTTGTCAGGAAAATAGAGCCCTTCTGTGAACACTCCCTGACTCTCTGCCTCTCTGACTCCTGTTCCTCTAAGCCACTCAGTTGTCTTCATATAGATCAGGGGTTTTAACTTTACAGTGCCCGTGGACCCAATTCTACACCTACCATAACAATCCCCTTCTGAGTAAAATTTAAAATGCACAGAATTACAAAGAAACAAGTCATAATAAAATACAGTTTATCAAAACATTCAGAATGCAAATGGCTAATAGTTTTAAAGTTCATCTAGCAGGTCAAATTGTTGTCATTTTAAAACAGGGATGATCATAAGTAACATTTCAACATATTTGCAACAATAGCACTGACATGAACTTTGGGAGATTTATATTGGTGACAAAGTTACAGATTCTGCTGCTATTACCATGGTTGGCTGCCTAAAGTAATAATTTAAAAATGCTGTCTCAGTTTTAGTGAAAATAAGTATATACTCTCCCCACTCAAGCTCAAGAAATCCCTGCAATCTATCAGTACATGAACACCAGGTCAAGAATCCCCAATTGTCACCCTGACTTTTTTGTAAGAAGTGCTCTAACAAAGCAGTAATGAAGATTTGTTGTATAAAGTATATGAAACAAGTTAAGCAACTCGAAGAAATAACTCCGAATACATACTGTTCTTGCAGAGGACCCAAGTTTGATTCCCATCACCCATGTAAGGCATCTTACAACTCCAGGTCAATTCAACACTTCCCACCTCCATGAGCTCCTGTGTAGCAGTACTATCTAGAAAACGGCACCCAGTCCGGCTTGGTCCTGGGCAGCCACCATGTTCCTGCTGCTCCTAGGCTCTGACTGGGGCTCTGGCCAGCTAGTTAGATGTGCAGGTTCTGGCACCCAGGAGATGCCAGGGTGGGGGATGGCTCTGCCAATCTACCACACTGTACCCACAAAGCTCAGCCGAACCCCAGACAATATCTGCCATCCTCCCAGTACAGTAGAAATGAGACTCTTAAAGCCTAATGATTCTCTAAAGGATTTATAGATTTAGAACTGCTCAATCAACAAGACGCCCACACAATTAGAGTTGTTACCCACCATCTAACCTTTTGATAGAAGTTGCTACCCAGGACAGCTTTCAATCCATCAGTGGTTCTCCATGGCTGATTGCCTCCTTCTTCTCCTCCCCTTTCTCTATTTCTCCCCTCCCCTTCCTCTTTTTCTCCCCTCCCCTTCCTCTCTTTCTCTCCCAGCTCCACCTCCTCTTCTACTGCCTAATCACCGAGCTCACTGCGAATACAATGTAGCAGAATACGTATCCTACTATACACCTGCTCATGTGCACATGCCCACATAGAAACACAACACATAAGATCAAAAAAAATGTATACACATGCAGACCCATGTGCAATAACATGAAAATCTGCCATGTCTCTCTGAGATTATGTAAATGAAAGCAGAGTTCTGAGCTGGTAAGTGATACTGTTAACTAGGGAAAATTATGTGTAGACTAACACATCCTATTATGCCATCATCCTGTATACAAGCTGACTATGATGTCCTAATGCCACTGAAATGTACGTTACGGCAGAACAGAGCCTAGAAGGCTAGCTCCAACTCTCTTCAGCCATGAAGACCTTCATACCTCTCTCCCTTCGACTTTTCATTCCTGTACCAACTACTCACCAATGCTGTCTTCCCTCATTAGAGCCCATGCTTAACATCACCTAACATTACAAACTCTCAGAACTCCTATCAAACATACTCACCAAACACCACCATCTCCTTACTCTGTGCTCATCCTCCAGCAAGAGGCTGGAGAATCCTAAAACCAGACTAGCAGAATTCAGATATGTCACAGATTTCCACATCAGTACCTAAACAGCCAACAGAGTCTCTACTACATTTCCCAAGGGCTGTTGTCTTACTCTCAGAGACAATTTCACACATTCTCTCGTCAAATTTCTAGTACCTTCTCGCCTCAACTCTTAGATGATAACCTTACCTCAGATTTCACAAAGAAGATAAATGCAATTAGGCAAGAAGGTCCTTGGGTTTGTAGCTTCCTTTTTATGAGCTATCTGTACCCAGGGCCTTTTGCCCTCCCTTTTACCTTACTATAAGGGGAAAAGAATCACCTCCACTGTGTGTGGCTTCTGTTCCTCTTGCTGCCTTGGAGACTTGGCTCCTGCAGTGCTCCCAGTCTATCTTCTACATCATGAATGTCTTCCTCTCTGTTCTTTCTCTCTGCACACTGCCATTGATACCAGTGTGCCATTACATCACACTTGTCTCCTGTCACCACTCTGTTCCTAGTTCCTCTTGACAACAGAGTTGCCTCAGAGATCTACTGCACAGAGCCAGGCAGAGTGGTGCACTCCTGTAGTAGCATCTCTTGAGAGGTGGAAGTAGGAGGAGCAGAAGACCAAGGTAATCCTTATCTGCATTCTGACTCTGAATCCAACCTGTCTCTGCTTCCTCACCACCTTAACCTCTCTAATCAGGTTTTCATTCCCAGCATCACATTTACCCAGCTCTCCACATGTTCATCAATGACCTACCTTTGTCACATTTACCCAGCTCTCAGCATGCTCATCAATGGTCTACGTTAGTCAAGGTTCATGGCCAAGACTGTCCTTACTTCACTTGCCAGCTTCCTAGAACTGAATCATCAGCTCGTGTATACCTCCCTATCCCAGCTGTCTGTCTTATTTTCTCATCTCTGGCTCTTCCCCCTCAATACCTCATGGTTTGGGACCTTTATTCCTGTGGATTTGAGTCAGAACCTATCACACTGTCCTTTCTTCTCACATCACATTCCTTCCCATCATAGTTCAACTGTATATCATAATCTTCTATTGGGATATCCTCCCCCATCATTCCCAGCTCCTCACATGGCTAACTCTTTTTATTATTCAGGCCAAATCCATCAGACTCTCCTCAGAGAGGCCTTTCCTGCCATCCTTGTCTAAGGCATTGCCATCCTCTATTACTTTATTACAGGGTCCTGTATTGTTTTTTATAATGTGATACCAGGTCTCAAGTTGTCCCTTTTGTTTGAATGCTCATTGCTTGTCTTCCTCACCAGATCGTACACTTGGAACTTGTCCTCTTCCTTGAGGATGCTTCCTTTAGCACCCTCAAGTCCTCACAAGGACCCAGCACAAGGAAGGTACTTGGTATTTGCTAATTAACTGACAAAATAAAAATCTATAAGGTCAGATTCTCCCTATATATAACTATGCTAAATCATTTCTTAACTCAGATGGTTCTGGTGGTATCTAAAGCAATGAAAAAATAGAAGATACAATAATTGTTCATTTCACAGTACAAGATTTCTTTTTTTCCAAGATAGTACTGTTAACTCTATGGATAAATCCATAAAAGCCTAAGGGAAACTAGAAAAAAAAACTGAATTCTTAGGTTCTTCATGATTTCAAAAGGTAAGGAAGCATAACTTTTATGAGTCTTAGAGACATGGAATCATCTTCCCTTAACTTACAGGTAACAAAACTGTGGATCTGAATGAACTGTTGGATATCGTCAGTTACATCAAGGGTGAGTTTCAAGTCACGATAAGAAATACTTATAAATAGCATCTTAAACACATAGCTATTAATACTGGGCAAATATCTTTCCCATTCATAAATGTTGCTCTTTGTATGTATGTATGTATGTATGTGGTTGGTTGGTGGTTGGTTGGTGGTTGGTTGGTTGGATGAGAGATCAGATGGTTGGATGGTTGGTTGGATGGATGGATGGGTGGGTGGATGGATGGATGGATGGATGGATAGATGGATGGATAGATAGTTGGTTGGATGATTAGTTGGCTGCTTAATTAGTTGGTTGGATGAGTGGATGGTTGGTTGATTGGTTAACTAGTGGATGGCTAGTTGGCTGGTTGGTTAGATGGTTGGTCAGATGGTTGGTTGGTTGGTTGGTGGATGGTTGGGTGGATGGTTAGGGAATTCTTTAGTTTGGTATGGTTTGCTTTTTTGAAACAAGATCTCATGAATACTATGCTACTGAAAACCACTATGTAGCTAAAGATGACCTTGAAATCCCAGTCCTCCTTCCTCTCTCTCCCAAGTGTTGGGATTAGAGTCATCTGTCACCATGGGAAAAGTTTAGATTCTTTTATATGGCATATTTCCATTTCTGTGGATGCACTGAGTACAAATAACCCATATCATGTATTCATACAGATAGTATGGCCTGAAATTTTCCCCAGAAATTTTTAATACAGATTATATTTCAAAACCCATAGAACTAGTCATATCCTTTACCCCAAACTACCCCCATCTAGGAATGAATTCTACAGGATTAACTATACTGAGTAAAACTTTAAAATATTCAAGATTTTTATTCTCATAGTAAATACTAAGAAAACTATAGTAGGTTAGAAATACCTAAGTGTATATATTAGAATCATTATACAAACTATTAGTATGTAGCAGGAGAATCACAAACTTGAGATTGGCCTCAGCTACATATCATGACTTTTATCTATTAAAAAAATGCAATGTTAGTCAACTGTGATGGCATGAATTAAAACACTAGCTATAAATGTTACACAGAGTGTTCACTTGACTGTACATATACTAAAACTGGAAGACTAAACAGAAGGTTAGCGTGGCCCCTGAGCAATGATGACACATAAATCCATGAAGTAATCCATATTTTTCAAGATATATAAAGAACTGCAAAAAGAAACACATAAGCCAGGTGTGGTGGTACACATCTTTAATTCCAGCAGAGGCAGAAGGATCTCTCAGTTCAAAGACAGAGCCAGCCTAGTCTACAGGAAAAAGTTCCAGGATAGCACAAGCTATACAGAGAAATGCTGCCTCAAAAACAATAAATAAATCAATAAAATAAACACCTAAAACATAACTTATGTTGGTAATAAACAATCTTGAACTGAATAAACCGTTCTCAAAAAGGAAATGCAAATAGCTAATAGATACTTTAAAAGATGCTCCTTAGTTAGGATAGGGCAAACCAAGCTGCTTTGAGACTCTATTGCCATCAATAATAATAATAATAATAATAATAATAATAATGCTGGAGGATATAGGGAAAGAGGAACACTTACACACTGCTGGTGGCCAGTGTGGCAGTCAATATATATTCCCTCAACAACTAAAACTAGAATTACCATACGACACAGTTATCTCTTGAAAAAATACCAGAAGAACTCTATCAACTACCACAGAATACTTGCATAACCATGTGCTACTCACAATAGCCAGGAAATGGAAGCAGCCTAGATGTCCATCAACAAGGAAGTGGATTACACAGGACAATAGAGTTTTAATCAGCCATAAAGAAAAGTAAAAAATCACTAGGCAGAGATGGTGCAGGCCTTTAATCCCAGCACTCGGGAAGCAGAGGCAGGCAGATCTCTGAGTTCGAGGCCAGGCTGGTCTACAGAGTGAGTTCTAGGACAGCCAGAGCTACACAGAGAAATCCTGTCTCAGAAAAACAAAGTGAAGCCATAACATTTTCAGGGAAAAAAAATTGGAAACTGCAAATCATTATGCTAAATGACTTAAGCCAGACTCAGAAAGACGATAGATTGTCTCTCATTTGTGAAACCTGAATTTAATACTCTGTGCATATGTGTGTCTGTGTGTCTGTGTGTCTGGGTGTCTCTGTCTGTGTAATTTGCAGCTCACAAAACTAGAAAGGGGATTATCAGAGTGGAGGAAGAGATCTTAAGGGAGTGGAACAGAGAGGATAATAGAATACATGTGATAAGAAAACAGAGGATACTAACTGTGGGAAAAGGAGACCAGCTGGAGCTAGTGAGGAAAGAGAGACCAAAGTAAACAACATGAGCATGAAGATCCCTTATCTTGTACACCTAAAAGAATTAATTTTAAAAAGTGTTAATACTTTTTAAAAGTTACACAGTAATTTTCAAATACTTATGAAGAATTATTTTGGGTTAAAAAAGCAAAAACACTAAGCCAAGCACAGTAGCACACACCTGTAATTATAAGAAGCTGAAGCAGGAGAATGACAAACTTGAGATCAGCCTGGTCTTCATAGTAAGACAAAAATACAAAATTAGATTTATATAAGATTTTCACATTATATAAATACAGTCATTATCAAAGACTAGGGGGAAAAAACCCTGAGGACTGTTTTTATGGTAGGGTAATTGGATTTCTTCCCCCTGCTACCCCTTTATAGTAGAAGTAACCTTTAATGTGGTTAAATCTCTTACAATGAATAAAGAAAACCTTATTCTTTCTGTTGAGATAAGATGGATTGTTGGAATACATAGTAACAAAGAAGTAAATTGAAGGAAAATATAATTTTTAAAAGTTAAAAGTTTTCACTGGCATTTATTTCCAGGTTCAGTGATATACACCTGTAGTCCCAGGCTACTTAGGAGACTGAGGCAGGAAAATTACATGTTTGATGACAGCTCGGGCAACAGAGCCAACATGAACAACGCAGGGAGACCTTGTCAAAAAGAAAGGAGGGCGGTCTATAGAAAAGAGTGAATATTCAAGTGGGGCAGAAGAAAGAGAGAAAGGGAAAGCAAAGCCTTGCTTGCAGCCTAGTCTGATACAGGTTCAAGCACAGCACACAGGGCTTCCAATTCTCGAGTACTTTCTTTGAGGCGTCCTGCTAATATGCAGAACTATAGGCGTGGGACTTGCCAGCGCTCCTCTTAATTCGAGGTGTAGAGGGCAGTGGTCAGCATAAGCACAGACAGCACCTGTCATCCTGTAAGTGTTGCTTCTATAATAAACCTGCACCCCGTTTCTCATTCCTTCTAAGGAGAATCAATTGACATGCAGTACTTGTACAAGTTTCTAGCAAATGACGGGATCGAGCTCACGGAAGATGAGTTGAATGACCTGATTTCTTACCTGATATTGAACGGTGAGGATTTCTACTTTGAAGGTGGGATCTTCCTAAAAATGAAATTTGCTACTAGCGTAGAAGATCCTCAGAAATGACTTCTGTATCGCTTAAAGCACATGAATTACCTCCTTCTTAATCAAGGTTACCACTGATGTCGTAAATACCCTGACCAAAAAGCAATTTGGGAAGGAAAGGGTTTATTTGGCTAACGTTTCCATATAGCTGTTTATTGTCAGAAGACACTTTCTGTCAGGACAGAAACTCAAACAGGGCAGAGACAGAGGCTGATGCAGAGGCCATCAAGGACTGCTTGCTTCTCAGCCAGCTTTCTTACAGAACCCTGAACCACCAGCCTAGGAGTGGCCCCACCCACAATGGGCCCAGCCCTCCCACATTAATCACTAATTAAGAAAATGCCTTATCTTATGGAGGCATTTTCTCAGTTGAGGGGCCCTCCTTTCAGATGGCTCTAGCTTGGGTCAAGTTGACATAAGACCACCCAGCACACTTCACAACTTGTTATAGAACAGGCTCACATCCAGGTCCAGGGTGGGGCCTCGCATTTCTAACAAGCTCCAACATGGCACCAACGATCCTGGTCCATGGGCCAGGATCTAAAACTCTAAAAAGTGAAGAGAAGAGATGACGTCACGATTATGCCTATAAATTCCTTTTTTAAATCCCAAGTACAACCAATAAGCTAACATGTGTGAGGGCATGGTTCTAATGCAAAAATAAAGTTTAAAAGTTAGAGTGTTCAAAACTAGGTAATAAAGCAAGCCGTAGACAGAGACTGAGGAGCAGCCGGGGTCTGGAGCTGACTGACCATGCTCCTCAATGACTGGACTTTATCACGCTGTGCAGTGAGGAGCCCACTATCCCCCGGACCTTGTGTTCTGTAACTTTTTCTTTAACTTTTCTACTACTGTTTGTTGTTTATACACATACAAAAAAAATTAAGCATATGGCAGAGTCATGTCTCTCCCCATTATGCTTCAGTGACATTGCTGGATAGTTGGTTAGTGTGTACCTCTGTCCTTGAACACAGGTACCCTGTGCTACACTGGGATAGGGCACTAGCCTAGCATCACCATGTGTAAGCACCATAAAAATAAACAAACTAAAAACCTGCAGCATAGCCCACCGATACTACTCAGCCTTCTCCACCACTTCCATTCTGTTACACTGCAAACCACTGGGCCATGATGCCCTAAAACTGCCTCGTTCCCACTTTGTCCTTTAGTTACTATCACTTTTTCTAGAATGCCCCCCCCACTCCATCCCCATCCCACAGTGCACTCAGGACATCCTGTTTCACTGCCCAATACTCCTGTCACATACCAGGATTCCTAGTCTACCGCTCGTCCCCTAACCAAAACATCACTGTTTCTTCTTTAAATTCTGAAAGGATTTTGTTGGAAACAGTATATACATCTTGTGCTTTGACTTTTTTATACACTTCTGGATCTCCCAACAGACTTTAAAGTTTTTTTAAAAAAATCCAGGGTCAAATGCTAAGGACACAAAAAGGGATGAATGGCAGCCCTTGTCCCCCAAGGACTTATGTTCTAAATAGAGGAAGAAGCACATTGTGAGGTAATGTTTTACAAACATGCAGAGGAACATATGGCTGAGGCTGAAACCTTCTGGGAAAGCATGGCTAAACAATGGCAGAGCATCTTTCCAGCCAGAGGCAGACTGTGTCCTCACTGTAGCAAAGCACACTTGTGGTGGCTTTCACAAAAGGCTTCTCGGTCATTCACCTACAAATGAATAAAGACTTGGAAGAGGAAGGGCTAGCCGGGAAGAGGACAGAGAAGGTCAGGAGGAGAGAGACAAAAGGTCCTAAGAGGCAAAGATGAGCCAAACACAGTACACAAGTGTGTGAAGAAACACACCTAATGAAACCCACTGTTGTGTATAATAACATATGCTAATGAAGAACTTTTAAAAAACCTGTCAGAATAAGAGCCAGCCCTTCCCTCCCTCTTCTAATAACTGAGAACATGGCAACATATTTCTCTTCATATCTTTACTTTTACATATGTGTAGATAATATATCACATACATAGTATGTATTATATATAACATAATAGATACATACATGCATGCATGCATACATGCTTACCAATGGCTCAGAAGAGAGCAAATGCTACCAAGCCTGACAACCTGAGTTTGATCCCCAGAACCCACATGGTAGAAGGAGAGAACCAACTCCTACAAGTTACCCTCTGACCTCCACATGCATGCTGTTGGTGCTCACGTGCATGTGTGCACGCACACACACAAATAAATGAATATCAAAAGAATTAAATATATATTGTCATCTGTTGGGAAAAGATCCTTCTAGATTGGAGGCCAGAGTCTGTTGGCCTACTTGTAACCTGTAACTATCAATCACACTCTTTGGACTATTTAAAAGAGAAACAACCCTGGAGAAGTAGAGCTATTTGTCTCCCTGCAAAAGCCACCCTTTGTCCTGTCACACACAGCTGAGAGGAAAGCTCATCCGAACTCCAAAACAAGTGTATGCAAGTGTCAGCCTTGTGCTTTCTGGGGGGGTGAGGGGGAGGAAGGTCGTGAAATATGTTGTTTTTAATAATTTCACAACTTTTATTAACCTTACTAAGTTTTTATGTGGCTGCTACCTCTGTCTCTAAATCTGTAAATATTTTACAGGAAGTGGGAAGGTTATCGTGCAGTCAATAATGGAGGGTCTGAAGAAGATTAAACGTGAGTGAAAACTTAGAGTGAAATGTATATGAAATTTATATGAAAAACATATTTTCATATGTATTTTTA